GGCATCATGACATAGTCCCTGCTTTGAAGATTACAGTCCAGGAAGATTGCTTTCCTCTACAAGACTACCACAACTACACTGCTGAGTGTGAAAACATGCCCCACCACTTCCAGCAATTCAGCAGCCCCATGATGCTTGCCCAGGATGCTGGCTGTACCACAGTGCTCTTCTACTCTGCTAGTTCCATGACTTTTTTTCCCCCATCCCTGGCCTCAGCAACCCCTCCTAGTTTTCTGCCCGCAGAAGGGGTCAGGAACTAGTAGCAGGGAGGCAGATCATGTGGGAAGTGCAAGCCACGGAAGGAGGGGTGTTCAAGGTGTAGGTAGATTGAGGCAACACTGACTCCTCCCTAGAATACTAACCTGCTCTATCCCCAGCAGCCAGAAATCATCGTTTCTCCCAGGCAGTCTTTTTATATATGCCTAAACAGTCTGGCTGAGACTCTAGAACAGGGGTGGGCAAAATTTCTGGCCTAAGGGCCACATCGGGGTCCCGAAACTGTATGGAGGGCCGGGTAGGGAAGGCTGTGCCTCCCCAAACAGCCTGGTCCCTGCCCCCTATCCGCCCCCTCCCATTTCCCATCCCCTGACTGCCCCCCTCAGAATCCACGACCCCTTCAACCTCCCCTGCTCCTTGTCCCCTGACCGCCCGCTCCTGGGACCCTCCTGCTCCTAACCGCTCCCCCCGGACCCCACCCGCTATCCAACCTCCCCCCCCTTTCCCTGTCCCCTGACTGTCCCACCCCTATCCGCACCCCCACCCTCTGACAGGCCCCCCAGGACTCCCATGCCTATCCAATCCCCCCTGTTCCCAGTCCCCTGACCACCGCCCCCCAGAACCTCTGCCCCATCCAACTGCTCTGTGTCCCCTGACTGCCCCCTGGAATCTCCTGACCCTTATCCAACCCCCCTGCTCCCTGGCCCCTTACCATGCTGCTCAGAGCACCAGGACTGGCAGCTGTGCTGCCCGGCTAGAGCCAGCCACGCAGCCTAGAGCACCGGGGCAGGCCGGCGGCTCTTGCAGCCGCGCTGCCCAGAAGGAGCTCGCAGTCCTGCCACCCAGAGTGCTTGCAGCACGGCGAGCTGAGGAGCGGGACAGCAGTGGAGGGGCTGGGGGCTAGCCCCCCCGGGCCAGCAGCTCAAGGGCCGGGCAGGATGGTCTTGGACAGACGGCCCACATGTGGCCTGAGGGCCATAGTTTGCCCACCTCTGCTCTAGAACCATGTAGGGGTGGGGGAAATAGTATGTTATGGGTTAAAATATATAGGAATCTCAAGCAGAACACCATAAGACAAAGTTCTAATGGATAGTAAAAGAGAAATACATTTCAAACTATAGCATAGATGGAGTTTAAAGAAAATGAAATTAAATCAAATTCATAAACGGGTAAGTATAAAATTAAAGAATTAAAGTTAGCTTACAATTGGTTAAGGATCAAAATGTGTGTTTGTAAAGAAGGCCCCAATCAGGAAGTAAAAGAAGACCATGAGAATAATAAGTAGCATTACTTGCAGTGTGGGAAGGCTGTGTGGTTTCAAAAGTAGCTAATAAAATAAAGAACTGCAGTAACAAGACAAAGAATGTCTTAAAAGAAACATGCCCAAATCTTCTCACTGTTCTGCTGGTCAGCAAGGAATGGGAGAGAAGATAAGAAATGAAAGATCTTGGGAAGAAAGGAGGTTGTAAATCTTATCGAGATTAAGATTGGAAATAAGGGTGAATTGTCTCAAACTGGTTTTTAGCTGAAGTCAGTAATTAGCAATGACATCTTGTGTTTGTTTAAGGGTATAAAAAGTAAATTCTTAAAGGGATCATTGCTAATACCTGCCTGATTATGCTGGAGTCGACCAATATGGATCTGAGCACCCTTGGGGTTAGCCAGTTTGTAAGTATTTTGATCAAATGCCTATAAATGTTTTGTTGCTACTTATTAGTTAGGCTTTTCAGGCATGTTTAGAGTAATTGCGTAAAGTATCCTTTGGATTTAATAAAGGAATTTATTGTTAAATTGGTGTTTGGTGATTTCCCATATTAATATTAATTATTTCAAATATAATTAATAATTCCAACAGATGGAGTTTAAAGAAAATTAAACCAAATTCATCCTGCTTTTTTCCATCTAATATATATCCCTATGCTTTCTTTACATAACTAATCAGCTCTGGAATTTACTAGTTTGCATGACGTTTAGCTACATTATTTGGATTTCATATTAACACCAAATGAAAATGTATGTATGAAAACATACAGCAGTTAGAGATAGAAAAGACCTCCTAGGTCAGCTAGCTTACTTCACTGCCACACTACATAGTTATTCTCTACTGTGTATTTCTTAGTGCTGAATTTATAAGTCCTAAGAAATGTAGGAATCCCACCATTTCCACTGGGACAATATTACATAGCCTAGTTGCTCTCATTGTCAGGAAACGATCAGATATGTTGTACTATACGGTAAAAATTTGTATTAGTTTCTCCTTTTGACTCTATTTTACATGCTTGGTAAATGTGAGTTAATGGCCATAGCTAAAAACTGCAGTGCTTTCTGTCAAGCCTGCAGGTCTCTCAGTGCAGGATACTAATGGCTAATTGCTGTCCAGGGATCCAGGACTGGTTCAGATAATACCTCCCATCCTGCCACCACAGAGGGGACTAGTATACCATGCACAGGTTGAAATATTAGTTATATGTGTAATACTCTTGCTCTGCTGATGCTTGGTATGGATTATCAGCTGCTTCGTGCTGACTGAGAGCTCAATGGTGAGAGCTTGATCCTCTGGGGAATCAAGACACTGATTCCTTTATTTTGGCCCTGACTGAGGCACGTGGCACCATTTCTCTTAATTCACTATTGCCCTAACACTCTCCTCAAAGACATACAACCATTATGGAGAACTTTCACGGTCTTCCCATGTAACTCCTCCCTCAGCTGGCCTGGCACAGGAGCTTGGAAGAGGTGGGGCAGAGGAAGCCGTGGCCCTTGTAGCCAGAAAGTTCAAGCATATGACTTTCAAGAAAGCCCAGTTTGCTTGAACTGTTATTGAACAGATCCACTGAGAGAGTCTTCAGTCTCCCTTGCTACTTGGAGGCAGTCAGACCTGTGAGCAATGGGCGCAGGCTAAGAGCCTTTTGCTGAAGAACACATTGGTTCTTTCCGTCTCCAGAGATGCAGCTGCCATTGCCTCTGCAGCATGCCAGCACTACCTCTCCCATTTTGATAAAACTTCCGGAGGATTTTAAAACAAATTTAACTTTTTTGTCATTTTGCAGCAGTTTGGGCACAGACTTGAGATGTGACTTTGTCTTTCTGAGGATAGCCTTTTGAAACACAGCAGTGGCTCTCTTCTGCTGCCAGAGGTATGTTCTTCTCTAAAGTGATAGATTCTGCCATGAAGATGCACAAGACGGGAGCTGTGGGAGCACTCATTCAGGGATGTGATTGCCCCCATGTATTCACATGTACATACTACTTAGATAATAGAGATGGGTCAGTCACACACTGGACGGTTAGTGTGATATACAGGTTTGTCCCACTATAGAAATTCTTTTCTACTAATACCACATGAAATAATACAATCTGTAGGAAAAATACTTCCAATTTCCAAAATATCTGAAAAGTATTCATGTAACTATTGCAACTTGCTGATGACAGAGTGAGTGAAATAAAATCAATTATGGTATCCTGCTTAATTTTTGTCCACTTCTTACATTGGCTGAAGCAGGTTTTATAGCAAATTATAAGCTCTGTGCATTGTTCAGAGACACTGCAGTCAGTTCATGATAGCATTTCTCCCAATAATTCATCTTTCAGTGGCAGTGCTTGTCTATAAAAATTGATTTGATAAAGGAAGTATGAAGTTCTGTGTGAATGTAACAGTACTCATAGCTGGGGAATCTGCAGTGATTGAATTTCTGGATCTAAATGCATGAGTCTCTCTACTGCTTGAGTGAAAGGATCAGGCCTATTAGTTTGAAAACTGTAAATCTCATACATGGTCCAGCTACTCGAGGAGGCCAAAGGCCCACACTTAGTTAACATGGGTTATATACATTTCTTTAGGGCCAGTTTCTGATACTATTACTGAAATTAATGGGACTACCTGAGAAGTAAGGTGTGAGCATGATATCAAAATGTGGCCACTGGTGTTTAGGTCAGTTTCTTTTCTTCCCAAACTCACCATTACATGAACATATTTCCCTTTCAGTAATTTTGTGCAGCTTGCCACTTTGATAAAGGAGACAGAAACTGAGATTAGTTTAAAACTGTTGGAGTCATAACTAGATCAATGAATTATCATTGACAAGGCTCTCCTTAGCTGCAGGAATATAGCTGTTCTGAACTCACCAGAAGAAACTTATACCATAAAAAATATGCTACTGCAGAAAGATTTGGGAGTAAGCAAATTCAATACACAATGTCAATTTGACAGTGAGTATTAGAGACACAAGGTGGATGAGGTAATATATTTTATTGGACCAACTTCCGTTGGTGGAATAAACAAGCTTTCGAGCTACACAGAACTCTTCTTTTCTGTTAGCTCGAAACCTTGTCTCTCTCACCAACAGAAGTTCATCCAATGAAATTTATTATGTCACCCACCCTTGACTCTCTCATATTCTGGGACCAACAGAGCTACAACACTGCAAAGTGAGAAATATTATAACTTTTCCAGGCCTGGTGACATACATGCAGTAAATCTGCATCTGTATGTTGAGTGTATTTTGAATTACAGAACATATATTGTAAATCAAGCTTCACTTTCTCTTTCTTTTCCCATTCAAATGAGACCCATATTATATAATATGTTTTTGAAATGTTGAAAAGAGGATAACTTAGAGCTATGGAAATATTTTAGCTTCTTGTAGGCATACTGCTGAATAGCAGTGGGGAGAGAAATTATACTAGCATGTTTACTAGTGATGTAAAAACATAGCCATACAATAATTTCAACAGTCAATATTAGAGCTCTCCAAATATTTCTTCACTAAGTATTTTTCACCCACCTGATAGCTCTAATGATGGTTTTAAGTGCTGGTGTGAGATCTTCTACTGATACATCACATTGGCATCCTCTCTCAACATAAACATCGTCTGTTCCAAGAGTGGTGTCAGCTACAGGATACATTTGCAAGCTAAATAACAAGCACTTCAAGACAATACCCTTGTACATTTAGGTAGCTTTTCTCTCATGCTGTCTATATTGGGAAATAAAACTACATTAAGGAAACCAAGTTCTGCTGTCTAGTCTCAACCTAAAAGCAAAGAGGAAAACAGATTTTTAGTAATTAGAGACAGAAAAAGGCCTGAGACCTATTAGATCATCAGTCGATCTCCCTGCTAGTGCAGGATTGTATAGTCCAAAATAGATACTGTAATATCAATTCCTTTTGAATGCAGGTCTGCGTGGCATCTGAGTATATCACATCATGTTCTCTATTTTAGAAAGAAGCAACAAGGTAATAGAAACCGTGGCAGAACCACAATATAGATAAAAGACACCGATATTGTAATGATGAATTATTAGTTATTATTTATATAGCAACATAAATTTACATAGCATTTAACAGAAAAATAAAGGATTTGGTCCCTGTTCCAAAGAGCACATTTATTCTGTGTGAGGACAGCTGAATGACCAAATACTCCAGGTAAAAACTGTGTTTAACAGAAGAAAGATATAGGAAGAAATACATCCCAGTTCAGTTGGCCCACATAAGCCTTCTGCCTCTAAGCCACTTAAGCATTGCCTTTGCCTGCCATAGTGGGAGCTGAGGAAGCTCTCTATACTAGCCAGTCTTATGATTTAGAAGAAATCTGCTTATTTTATTCATAAAATATTTATGCCCGTCCCCTCCCTAATGAAAGCTTGGATGCCTGACAAAATTATTAATTAGTTTTAACTATGTAATTATCCTGCTATATTATTTTAAGTTCACCAAAGCTACTAATAATTAAAATAATAACTGAAAACCATACATAATGCTGAACTTTCCAGGTGTTTCACACTTCTGTCCCTGATTTAGTCTTTCCAATAACTTCCCCCATTTCTGGAATCTCCTGGCTTATCCCTAAATACCATACTAAATAAGTCTTCCTTTATTCTAGTGGTATTTTCACTAAAAATCTGATTCTTCTTACTTACACTGGTGTAAATCAGGAGTAACGGTTGAAGTCAATAAAATTACAACTGTATAAAATCAGTGAATGAGGAGATTCTGGCTTCTGCAGTTTAAAATAAAGTGCATTTCTAAATGGCGGCCTCTATTATACAATTCTTGGACCTTGTTCTAAGTGTAGCTTAATCAATGAAAGAGCTCCTTTAGTGGAACATTGCAAAGAAAAATCTGCATAAATCTGGTGTTGAATGAGACTCATGCAATCTGTGAAGTTCTCCAGGCAGTTCACAGACACAAATATCTTCAAAATATATTTATAGATACACAACAAAAAGTTCTTGTAAGTTTAAGCCAACATGCAAAAGAGGCACTTTTCTTAATAAACTGCCTTCTTTCTTTCTAATATTTCCGTTGGCATGAGTTTCCCTCAGCATGGTAGGAGCTCAATACAATATGTCAATAATGCTGTGAGGAAAAGCTATAAAACTTATTTGATTTATATGAGAAATGTGCATATTTCTTTATAATACTTAGAGACTTGGAAATGCCTCCCACCCACATCAATGGGCAGGAGAAATTGATGGGGCTGTTGGTGAAAGGAAAACAGTCACAGTAGCAAGGGAGGGAGACGTTTGCCAATGGACAATAGGTAGCTCCTCCCCCGGGAGTCTCTGGCACCCATTGGCCAATTGGGGGAGAAGGGTGCTGATTGGCCAGCATTCCCAGCTCCCAGGATTTAGCCAGTGCAGGGGCCTTGTGGAGCTTTTTTTGGCTCTGTTCCAGCTGCCCACCTTACCCACCTGAACTAAGAATGGGAACCTGGCCTGACAGATACTGCAGGTCTAACCAATCGCCTATTTACAGGGTCAGGAGGGAATTTTTTCTCCCATGGGCCAACTGGCAAAGGACCAGGAAGTTTTTTGCCTTCCTCACAGCACCTTCAACCCACAGTGGTCTGAGTAGGAACACACTTAGTACCTAACTAAGGTACTTGGGTGGTGGAGTTTATTCGTCAGAAATTGCCGCTGGTTTCCAGTGCAGTTAAGAGAATAAAATGAATGGTTCCCAGAGGTAAAAGACCTGGGATTTTGGTGATGAGCCTTGGGCTCATGTGATAGGGTGAGTCCTTGAGGCCTTCATGGGCAGAGGTCAGACTTTGTAGCACTTGCGGACTGAGGTCCCACCCTGCTGCACCCTCTGTCCCCTTTGCGGGGGAAGGGGGGGGGGAAGAGGGTGCTAGGACTCAGAGCTGAGTCCTGGGGTGTAAACTGAGGAGAGCCACCCCGTGTTTGAGTTATATGTTAAGTAGCCCTGTAAACCTGATGCTAGTTACGGATTATATGGTAACAAGCCCTGTAAGCCTGGGCCAGTTAATGGGTTCTCTGGTAAGGAGTTCTGTAATCCCCACATTGGAACCAATTAAGTGTCTGGTATAGGAGAATATAGGTGATGGGCAGGTATAGCCCCTCCCTCGTCTTAAAGTTTAACAAAATTGTAATCCCATGCATATGTCTGTCCTCATTTTGCTGCTGTGTCCAAAAAGAGTTTGGGGAGCATGTATTAAGAAGAATTTGGAAAATTTTCCAATTTGCATTCCCGATGAAATAAATGTTTATGCTCTGATTAACTTTCCAGTGGAATTTTATGGACATATATGCATTCCATTTATGAATTTCACTGCCATTTATGATTATGCAGAGATATATGGGATAAAATTATGTTGTGAAATCCCACAAATAACAAATAAAAATGCATGAGTTCATAACTGTATGTCATATGGTTTGGTGCACAAGTTATGCCTTGGTTTTGATTTATATTTTCCAAAGGCCATATGTGTATTCAGTTTGTTTAGCAATGTACTTTGGCTACAGTAAAACTGACATTGCTTCAGTGCTTAACTCCAGCAGACAGTTCACAGCTGTGAATCCTAGTAGAGGGAGGTACCTACTCGTAAATGCCTAACTCCCTTTGAGGGGAGGGGCTTAGGCAATATTTCTTTAATATAAGAAGCCTCATTTTTATTGGTTATCAAATAATTAATGCGTGATCCTAAAATTCAAAATTCTGCGTGTATAATGAACATTGCATAAAGATTCCCATCTAATAATTATCAGTTAGCTTTAGTTGCTCTTAAACTTCCGAAAAACGCTCTGTCGAAATACTGGCAATATTTTATGGAATGGCTCCCGATACTTAATTAAAAAGGAGTTTCTCCACGTTGAGTGATGATAGCAGAATCAGAAGTTTTTCTAAAAACAGTTAATTATATACACCATAATTCTACAGTTAAAATTGCTGATCACATCATAACAGTGAATCACTAACTGATCTGTTATTAACTCGCCATAAAAGGAGAGTAAGAAAGAAGGATGATTTTGTTTTGATGCTTTTTAACTTTTAAAATTCGAAACTTTTAAAAATCTCTATCTAACTGATATGTATCAATATAGCTATACACACAAACATATCTCATACCTATGTAAACAGCACACATGTTAAAGTATAGCCATGTAAGAAAGTGCAGGCTATGTGATAAAGTGAAGAGCTATGGGGGAAATATCCTGTATCTTTGACTGCATCATTTGTTGTACTCTGCCCACAAAACCGCTCTGAAATTCCAAACCCCTTGTCCTTGGGGGTGGGGACAGAGATCACCACTGGAGAGTCTTCAGCCCAAATGCCCAGTTTTGGTCAGGGTTAGCAGCAGCAATGACTTCACCCCCGCAAGCACTCACCCCACTAGGGCCAGCTTCATCCTGGGCTTGGCTCCCTCTCCCTTTCTATTAAAAAAGCAGAGACTCCCGCTGCTGAGTAATGGTAATGAGGGTACTTGGCTTTAAATGCAGAAGGTTATGAAGGACAGTACCAACAACATTTTTTAAATTCTAAAGCATTCCTAAAATAGTACTGTATTTGGCATACGCAGAATACATGCCGTGTAGTGTGGTATAATGGCTTAATTGGCACTCAGTTCATGGCTTCACCACTCATGAGTGTGTGGTCATCTGAAATTCATTTACGTAAAACCTCTGTACCACACAACATTGCATTTGCGCTCTCTCTCTCAGAGCCCAATTGTGCAACCCTTACTCATACTACTAAGCAGTCCCTTTGAAGTCATTGAGTACTCACCTAGATGAGTAAATTTTGCACAATCAGACCCTCAATATGTATTGTAGAGATACACATTGAATGACAGAATCATAGGGCTAGACCATCATTTGATGTAAATTGAAATAACTATCAAAACCAATGGAGCTACGCTGATTAACAGCAGAAGAAGATCTGTCGCATAGAATTCAAATTAGAATGGTGGATTATGTTTGAGAAGATCTTACTAATTCAATACAGTGTAAACTATATGAAAATGACAGGAGATACATTATCAGTTTAAACAATCACAGAAATATTACCCTATCGACTGACATCAATTAACATATTGCTAACAGCACTACAGCTTTTTATCCCAAGGTATTAGCTCATACAAATCCAGTAAGGAGACGAAAGACACCAAATGGCTTAACTCTTAACCAGTAATTGCTAACTAATGAGGGCTTAAAAACAACTAAACTAAGGACCTGCCCCTGATCGAATGAACTCTAGATGAGGGCAAGATCTGTGTGTTATTGAAAGAAAAAGCTGTCATTTTTACGATACATAAATTTTATGGTAATAATTAAGTATATGGGGGATGAAGTATACATTTGCATTCTTTCCATGATTTTTATGATCTACTCACCCTGAGGATTCAATGTAAGTACTCTCAGGGGAATAGAAGGGCAGAGAGTTCATGTGAGTTTATAACTTTCTGCCGTTAAGTTTAGAGATAAGAATAGAAATCAACTATTTCCTTGGAGAGGCCTTTTCAATTAATCAAATGAAATACGTCTGTAATTTCTCAAGTGTTGAACACTTTGATGTTTTATTCAATAAACTGCACAACGTCTTTAGGTTATAGAGAATGCTAAATATCTCCTGCAAAGGCTCGAAAGAATAAAATGGTGGAATACAATGTAACAGGGTGTGTTGGTCCTTATAGATGGCTACACCCTGTGCCCTACTTTCATCTCAGAATGGGAGAAAGGGTGATTTAGAACAACCCCTGCTGAGAAGGCAGTAGGGAGAAGGGGAATAAGTCCTGTTCCTCAGAAACCAGAGACGCAGCAAGACCTGGAGTAGGGCCTTCCACCAGGAGTGCTGGGGAAGCAGCCCTGGAGAGTCTGTGGAAAGGGTCTATGAAGAGACAGGAAACACAGGGAAGGGTAAGTTGTTCAAGGCCTGATGAGGCAGGAGAGAAAAGAACTTCCCATTCCTTTGCAGGATAAGATTTTCAGTAGAATCAGAGACTGTTTGTGAGTCCTGCACTAAGGGGATGAAGATTCAGATGTGTGGGAAAGCAAGTGAAGGAAAGGCCTGAAGCAATGCACTAGTGGAGTGGGCTGGAGGCCTGTTGCTAGCTCCTGCCTTTAGCTAGAGATGACAGGCTAGAGCTTGCAAGAAAAGGTGGGAGGAAACCCTTTTCACTCTCCTGTGTTAAGGATGGAAGAGCAAGGTAGGAAAGAACTATTGAGTTGTTTGGTCCTGGAAGGATGAAGAAATTCCTTAGCCTGGGGACGTCAGTCAATCACTGGTACCTGCCTTACATCAAAAGAGATGAAACATGATACAAGAAATGGACCACTGAGCTCCTACACTAATAGGTAGCAAAAGGCCTGGCTCAAGGAGGGTCAAATATGTGTGGTGTTTTGTGTTTGGATGTTTGTTTATCCCAGAAAGGGAGGATTTTTGCTTTGGTTGGAGGGCCAAAGTACCACAATCACCCAGCCAAATAGCCAGTGGAAGATTATCATAAGGAAGGAAACTGAGGTAGTGACCTGACACCTGGGAGATAAGAATACATTACTACAACAAATAAAATGCTGTAGTTCCATTCAGTAAGAAGAAAAAATGCTCTAAGCTAAATATGCAGTCTATTGAACATCCACCTTGAGACAGCATTTAATAACTGTAGAATTGATAGCATGTGAGGAAAAATTTTGAATACACCAAGGTTGGTACTACATATCTGAGGGATAAAAGCGAGGCTGCAGAATGTACTGTGTAAGTGTTGCCTATAAGTAGTAAGCAAGCTGGACATCAGTTTGATGACACTGATCCCAGAGGCTGCTGGACTAAGTCCTACAGTGGAAACTTTACCAAAGAGCTGGAGTCACTTAAAGCTGTTGTTCCTTCTGTCACAGAAGAGAAATGGACATATCTGTTGGCTTTTGTACATAATGGTGGCTGTGCAGCTGGAAACTGCTGACATGCATACAATCTGCGGTTACTCTGAGGAACTGGAAAGTATTTAAGTGTATTGTAAAGAATTATAAACTATATTTAGTTTTTATGAGTATTGATTCCTGCAGATGCAATTCATGGCATCTTTTCCCTAAAATCAAAGACTGCACGGTAAGTTCCTACTTATTTTGATGATGCTTCAAGACTATAAGTTACAGTATGTCTAGGGGAAAATATATGGCAATGTTTGCATAGTTTGTTTGATGAGCATGGGGAGCTGGTAAAAAGGAAATGAATTCCTCAATGTGATGGGGCTAGAGAATGAAAGATAGGAGTATAAAATAAGGGGTAAAAATTAAAAGGAATATTACAATTGTGCTCAGCAAACTGCATTGGTTGTCAGTTTATGTCGAGGTGCAGGTCATGGTATTGATTTTTTTTACCTATAAAGACCTTACTGGTTTGTATCTTAAAGACCACTTTCTGTTCCATTGTTCTATCATAGCCGTTGAGATCAGCCATGGGTGCTCAACCCCTAAGCTGAAAGTCTCAAGATTTGTACATCTGAGGATTCTCAGAGGAGGATCCTAGACTCTGGATTGCTGATCCGCAGATGGTCTGCTTGTTTTGTTTTCAGCCCTTCAGGGAATGTTGCTAACCCTGATTATTTAGTGAGGCATTTCCTGAATAGGTACGTTGAGTAGGAGGCTCTTAGTTGTGGTCTACAGTGTATTTCAGTTCTATGTATGTGCTAATATGTGCTCTTAAAGGGATGCAGATAGCTAAATCACACTCTTGTCTGATTGTTTTTTATTATCCACAATTATTAGAAGTTGCATACATGATTACTGTCATGAAAAGAGATTAGCGACGTCTCTATTTTTGTCAGTTGGTTTCCTTTTTGCAGTTGACAGCACTTTGTGTACAGTCAATTTTGCTGCTTCCCTTGTATTCCCATATCCTATTGTTTATATGTGGGCCTTCAGGGGGAAGTCAAATCTTTATATAATAGGAAAATGTGATTGTATAAACCTAAAATTGCCAGGGAACACTCAGGCAACTGTAATACCAAAAACTACTTTTAACTCACTTTTTGAAATTGACTATATTTCAAGTTGAACTTTGATAGGTTACAAGTTGCCTGGCTCTCCCTATTCTTGGCTGCCACTAGGTTCCCTGGCTATCTTAGTCCTCTAGCATTGCATCTGGTCTCCACATCCTTGGTTATCCCTGACTAGAGGGGCCACTGGGTCCCTGTTGATGCGACATCATGGAGGAAGATCTTTGATGAAGTGAGGGTTACATTTGTGAAAAAACAGGATTTTTGTGAAAGTGCTTAGCTGGTTGAAGGAGAAGGGGAGAGGCATAACCTCAGGTCCTATACCTTCTGTAAAACAGGAGCCAATGTGGACAAAACTTGGAATCTCCATTCTGTCGGAAATTCTGACACTTCACGACGTCCTTACACAAAACCATGATCTTGTTTATCTATTATCTTTTAAGGTTGGTCTACGCATAATTTGCCTAAGATAAAACCATAAAAATAAGGAAATGAAAAGTTAAAGCATCTACTAGTACATCTCCCTCCTCTGCCCAGTGACACAAACTCACCACTAGCACCACCACCAAGCAGCACACCACAGAAAAAGCACTACAGCTTGAACTCTAACCTAGTTGGGAAGCCAGCTTTCCAGTACCCCCCTTCTCCAAACTCGAGTATCTGCAGTGGTTTCCTAGAACCGTGGAGAATGGGTGGTCGTGGAAGTCTGGCCGCTTTGTGGCAAAGGGGAGATAGGGACAAGGTATAATGGAAAATATGCATGAAAAATATCTTACCATCTGCCACTGGTTTTGGCTGAGAACTCTTCAGACGCAGTGAAGGTCTGAAACGGGTTCGGTCATTGAAGCTCCAGCTCTTTTGCACTTTGGTTGGGCTGCTCTCTGCAGTAACATCAGTACCTGGTGACCGTCGATCTCCAACTGATGCTTGCCTGTTCTTAATACTCTGGCCTCTTGGGCTAGCCATCCGTACCCGCTCTTTAAAACTTAACTTCTGGCTGTGAAAGAGAGAAATATATATTATTTCATATTTAATTCATTCCAATTTCCTTTGTTATGTGATAGACATGTAGATATATTTATTTCCAGCAACTAAACTAAAGAAAGCACAATGTAGATTTTTAACCAGTGTTTCACTTTCATGGAATATATTCATTCATTGGGATAATGCTCATTTGAAATAAGTATAATTCTATAAAGACATTATCATTGAGAGTGTATAGTGATTGCAGTGATAGTGTATAGTAAATCTAACAAAATGTAATCCAGTAATAATGGTTTAACCTTACAGACATACTTTTAAGGTTAGGACTTAAATTTTAGATGATTACAAATATATTTCCATGTAAGACAGCCCAGCTCAGTGCATTTCTGATCATCTCTACAGATAAACAAGACAAATTGTTCTATTATTTCTGCATGCCATGTAGTTGTTGTTTTTTAAACAGGCAAGATTAATGTTATTGTTAAGTTCATGCATTTTCAAGACATGACATTTTCCAACATTTCATACATATTATTAATGATCACATAAATTTAAAATTCTTTGTTACAGCATTCATTTGGACAAGACAAAAACCAAAATGAACAACCTCCCCCACCCCCAAGAAATGTTATTGATGTGATGGCTGATTCACAAAAATGTGATATTATACTGTATGTTTAATAAAGTAATTTCCTGTCTTTGAGCTGGGAACTGACCAGCTGGAACAGCCACTAGCAGATGGTACTTCAGGACCAGTCAGCTGAAATAGCCTGGCCATGCTAGTGATTGTGACTGCTTGATCTAAGATGGCCTGTACATTGGGAGAGCTACAGGAAGAATGCTTTTTTTCATACACCTGTGACTTTTCCCTTCTACTTACTCATGGGTAAGATTTTGGGTGCCCCTAATTTACAGAATGTACTTTCCAGCTTTGTTCATGTTTGTATATGCTATGTAATGTACTTGATTTGCTCACTCTGGCTGTTTTCATGTAACACTTTTCCATATTTATTTATAATTTGCACTATTCATTGTCACTATTTTACAGACACAAAATATGGGACACAAATAGGAGACGGAATGGAGTAATCCACTTTGAACCTGTGTATGCAGTTTGGAGGCATGAAGATGTGTTGTATCTACATGATTAAGTTCAATAATCTATACAAGGGGAAAATTTTCCTGCACAATGATCCTATTCGTGCAAGGGAAGGGGTTGACAGACACAATTGTATTGTGGCTACATAACAAATGTGGGAATTTTCTGTAATATTTTTATGAACAATATATGTGTCCCCATCTGACTTTCTATTGTTACCCATTGGATATAGAGGGGATAAATTGCTTTTCCTGGAATTGAGCAGGAGGTATGACGTGTTTGGGCTGTGTAGCTGTCTGGGGTAGTAGGAATGTGCCATTAGGAACTAGGCTGGAATCAACCCAGATGAATGGAAGATCCTCCTGAGGTAAGGGAATCTCAACAACCAAAGATTAACTCCTACCTGCAGAAGTAGCTGAACGTGTGAACACAGCATGGCTGTGTCTGGAGAACAAAGACACAAAGGTGTTAGGTGTTTATGTGAAGAAAAGCAGGGTTCACAGACACAGGGAAGCTCACTGGCGACTGAGAGACAAAGGGAACGGGGCAGAGGAGATGGGAAGAAACCTTAGGGAAATAGGGTGTGGCAAAATCTTGTCTCCCCACAGTGTGAAACCTGTCCTAATTCTGCCTCTCTCAGGGAAAACCAGACTTTCAGCCTCTGTATTCCAGGTCACTAATATATTGTTACTTTATTTTGAAAAATCTGCCTAGTGCTGTTGCAGATATTTACTGAAGAGCACTGTGCCCTGAAGCAGGGGGAAAGTATCTTGCAGGAGCCTGGCTCGGCTGGATTGCTGCAGGCAGCCATCGAGATACAGGGATTGATGGGGCTTGAAGGCCTAGTTTTGGAGTTGTGGCGGCCACTGGCCTGTCCCTGTGGAACAATAGGGATCCTTGGAGTCCAGCACACTAATGGGATATTCCTCAGGAGACCAGTTAAAGGCTGAAGCATAGACTAGACCCTGTGAATCCATGACAGGCCACACTTAGGAGAGCCTCTTGTGAATTTATTGACTCTAGCAAAAGGGACAGGGTGTTCCAGTGGCAATAAACCTTTTTGGGGGTCATGGCAAAGACTATCTGCTTGTTGTTCATGACACTGAGATGCAGCCTGTTCTGCTTCTCTCATGGTCCCTGTATTTTACTGTAAGACACTAAAAAGAAGCGTTTTGAACAGAAATGTATTTTGCAACTAAAAAGAAATATTAAATTGTACTGTTCCATGTCTACCTGCTTAACAAACTATATTCTGAAAAGACAGAGTTCTCAGTATGTAACTATATGAAATGGAATCACATGATCTTCTGAGGTTATGACATTTTCAGATAATCATACACTCTTTGTCCATGCATCATACTATGTCTCATACAGCTGAGACTGACTGAGAGGCAGTAGGCGGCAAGCAAAGCACATGCTGAGCGGCTTATAATGAGGTCAGTTTCAAGAATGCTATAAAGATCTTCATTAGACAAATATGGCATCTTATATCCCTTTAAAGAATACTTGTTTCTGTAATTTCTCAATCTAATCCCTTTCTCCCCTTGCCCAAAGTAAGCAATTTTTGAAACAAACATGGGATGATACTGGAAATGTCATCTCTTTCCATTGCAAAATATTAATCACACCTGGAACACTAAATCCTGTAGTGTACTGAATACAAAAGACCCTCAGAACCTATAATCTGAAAGAAAAGCAAGCTCTAAGGTTTGTTTTACAGTAACAGTTACAGTTCAAGGCTCAGTTCAACTCTCAGTAACTTTTGTTTATAATCTGTCATGAGAATGTACTCTAGGAGGCAGTCATTTAATAGTCACACTACAATGTATTCACACTAGCGTGCATGAATTACATAATGCAAATGTATTTGTTATTATGGGTACTATATCTATACATGTGCTCTCCATATACTGTATTTGCTGTACCGGTAAAAAAAATTAATTATTATTCAAGCACGAAAATCAAATGATTATTTTCTAGAGAAATCCTATAAAGTAAAAACTTTCTGGAGATGTCACTTTGTCTTACATTAATTTAACCAATTGGAAAATTGATAAGGTAGCCATAACAAGGATTGATAAGGACTATATTTTATATGCAACCAAATGCAACCAAAAATAAAATTAGATGAAAAGTATGTATTACTGCTGCTAAATCAACTCATTTGTACTAATATAAATCTCTTTTTTCTCATCTTTTAAAAAGATGTCATGGATGTAGTGCTTTGAATGAAAGCCATCCTGTTGATGTCCAGTAGAGACAAACATGACATCATGAAATTGGATGGGGTACACTGTGGCGTTTGCTCACACATTGCTGTGGACTTGTCAGTGTTCTGGGATTAACGCTTGAGGGCCCTCTTAGCCGCCACACAAGGGTTCTTGTAACTCCAACCTGAATGCTGACCCAGAAGGCAAAAGCTTTAAGGCACTGATTCAGGGAAGCAAAACGGTTAAGTGCTTTCCTGAAGAGGTGTGGTCTTTTGAATCAGGGCCCAAGTGTACAGAACCTGAATGAGCCCCACTATCCCTACCGTATAGCAATTTTGTTCTTTTTTGGGGGATGACTCTGTTCTTTGTTGCTTATATTTTATCTGTTTAATCTTTTATGCCTTTCTATTTCTTGACTTTGACAATGATAATCTTCTTGGACCTACTGTGTTCTTTTGCTGCCTGTTGCAGAATTCTGTATATTTCTATAGCTATAGTGCTGGAGCTTTAAAGTCTTGTAGGGCAAGCCTACGCTACAGCGCTACATCGGTGCAGCTGCACTGATGCAGCTTCACCACGGTATCGTGTCTGTTGAAGATGTGCTATGCTGACGGCACCTCGGCGAGAAGCATAAGCTATGTTGGCGGGAGAGTGTCTCCCGCCGACATAGTGCTGGTATGGACAGCGCAAAACTTGCATTGCTCAGGAGGAGGGACTTTTTCATACCTCTGAGTGACATAAATTAGATTGACTCAGGGCTAGTCTTCACTATGGAGAGATCAACACTGCTGCTATCGATGCAGCGGGTGTTGATTTAGCGAGTCTAGTGAAGACCCGCTAAATCAACAGCAGAGCACTCTTCGGTCGACCCCGGTACTCCAGCTCCCCAAGAAGATTAAGGTAAGTCGACCGGAGAGTGTCTCCCATCGACGCAGCGCCGTGAAGGCATTGGGGTAAGTCGACCTAAGCTATGTTGACTCCAGCTACATTATTCATGTAGCTGGAATAGCACAACTTAGGTCAACTTACCCCTGTAGTGAAGACAAGCCCTTAAGCGGTAATGTAGACCTGCCCTAAGAGTAGTGATCAGTTACAACTGGAACCTTTGGAAAAAAAGAAAATGACTTCTCTTTAATTTTTGTACTCTGAAGGCATTAGTTATAACATCTCACCCACTTAGTCCTCCACCCCGCTAGTCAACATACACATGAACTGTTCTCTTGCACAGGGCTTTGTACTCCTTTTAGTTTTTCCCAAATTCTTTATTTTCTATCCTTCACTTATGAAGGAACTGCTGGGGGGGACACACTAGGGGTCACTGTGGCTTCACTGGAGGGGTAGTGAGAAATATTCTCTAGTGGACCAAATTACTTTAGGAGCCCCATTACTCCAACTGGGTGCACATGACACCTATTGAAATCACACTGAGTCACACACATGTATTTGATAATCCAGTCCTAGAAGTTTAAGATGTAAAACTTCTCCACCAGCCTCATGCTAGAAGTGTGAACCCAAGAATGGTGATGTTATACCTCGCACCTTCTATGAGCGTAGGCAAGAATTACAAGGAAGTAATTTTAGTTTAGATTTCAATGTAGTAATGGAATTTTAAAAGAATACATTTGAAGCTTTTTGTGAATGGTGTTGAAAAATAGTGCATTTATTTCAAATTAGTCTCTGGACAAATAGAAACTATATTTTTGCTCACTTTATAATTTCAGTCTGGGATTATAATGACTTTTTGAAATCACTAAAAAAAACTTTAAAAAAATTGATGTAGCAAGTTTTTGGCATAGAGTAGAGGATTCTCCCCTGAGATTCATAAGCTAGAAATTACCATGTTTGGCAAGAGATAGAAAGGTCAACAGAGTCCAGTTGAAGCAAACCATTGTTTTAGCATGCAGTCCTCTACACTGTAGATAATGCACTGATTCAGGCACTGTCTCCAAGGGAATACTTCTCAGTAGCAACCGTAAACTTAAGTTATTGAAATAACCTAGCATGAGATACCTTAGTATTTCCCACTAATTAACATTTATTTGACATGGGAACACAGCCTCCGCTGTTGCAATAATCCTCTTGGATTTAGGAAAATGTAGTTATCCAAATAGCCAAGAACTGTTTTAGCTCTTTATAGGATCAAACATTCCAAAAGTTCAAGTCTCAGGCGGAAGAGGGTACCCAGGCTTAGAAAAGCCAATGCGTGCTGCACTCTGCAGTTGTCAATTGCATGAATTTTGAGGTGCTGACACAGTATACTATAATATACAACACTTTATTGCCATTATATTAATACAGCACTGCAGGCAACAAGCAACAGGGAAAATTACAAGCACTTAAAAAAATCAAGAAAGGACCCTAGGAGAAGTAAGAAATTGTAAAGCACTAAGAAGGGGAAGTAAACTGATCATGCACCTGATGTTAGTGGCATTCTCAAATATCATGTGAATAGATAGGATGCTGGATACCTATGTTTCCGAGAGCTGTACATCCTGAAGAGCTTCTGTTTATTACTACAAAGCTTACTAGGAGTGAGGGGAAATAGAGGATTGTATTACTAAGCATTCCACTACTAGGAAAGGAGTTAGGTTTTCCATATAAGCCAAGACAGGTTCCAGATTACTGACAATTCTTTTTTCACAATGGTGGAGGCAAAGATAATAAACAAGGTAATCATTTAATTTTAAATCTGCTATGAGAAACAAATACAATATTGTATATGGAGATTCCAAAATATAATACATTTGAAAGAACCAATCAAAATGAGTAGAATAATAGGTCTTTTCTCGAACTCCTATGCAGGCAAAACTCCCATGGCCTGTAATAGAGAGTGTTGCTAGAGTAATGGATGGATGATCAGGCCCACGATTTAGTACTTCTATTTAAAAGGATAATAAAAAAACTACACTATTTGGGTGAAATTTACTTTCCTGCAGAGAGAATCATCCCAAGGCCTATGCACAACTTGAGGCTCCTGGAAGGTCTGAATATAGATAGGGTTTAAGTGAAATGTTCTGCACCGACCTTGTGCTGGTCCTCTGAACAGGGGTGAATTTCACTCATGATGAATAAATTGTTAAATATATATATGAATGCAGTGTATAGGAATTCAGATTTAAAATGGCTTGCAGAATTCGAACAATGATTTACAGAATAATCTATTTTACACCAAAGAAAATACTAGAAAAATACAGTCTAATTTTATAAAAGAGAAAAAACAAAACAGCACCTCTATATAATATTTAGAAATACTAAATATAAACTGTTGTGCATTTTGTTAGCAAAATTAATGTTCATGTATAGCTCAAAGGCTCAGTTCTATCCTCCAAACACAGAGTGACAACTTAGCCACACTCTGAAAGGTTCTAGGTCCAAATAGGAGTTAATGAATAAAAAATGTTATAATATGTCCAAAATTCATTTTTATAGGCAAGAAATTAAAATAATTTCCAGATAAATGGATAAACATTTCTTGTTTGTTTTATTAAAACAGAATTAAGAAGAAAAACCATGTTCACAAAGCAATTCAATGCACTGCGAATACAAACACATTTTAATATAAAGACACCATTTATTTAGTTCACATAGCATCACATGCAAGTCACTAAGCATCACAGTAAAAAGAAGTTAAAGACTAGAAGATAGTTAATTCTAGAAAGTGCATTGCAGAACATTGCATTTACATATTTAATGCAAAAGACTACATTCATTACATATTTTTTAACTGATGTAAACATACAGCCATACAACACTGTAGGAACTATTAACAGCCACTGACAACAACACAATACTTAACTTCACTTAAAAAGGCAATGAATGGTCAGCAGGTTTACACTGAAGTCAAAGATATCAGTTAAAAATTAAAAATGATTGATAATCTTTAAAACTTTTCAATTGTATTTCTTTTTCCTTGGGAAAATTCAATTTTAACATGCTATTGTGTATAAGCTGTTGTAAAGTGTTTTAATGCCATGCAAAAAAGTGCATTTTGATTCCTACTCAATATACAGCAACAACAGAAAAGATTGGTTGAGATTTTCAAAGGGGATATGGCCACACATCTTCCATTAGTATTAATTCAATGAAAAGTCATTGAAGATATATGGTTAAATCCCCTAGACTACTTTAAAATATGAACCATTATCTTAATCATAGGATATACTATCATCTTGATGTTCAGGGATTTATATGAGTAATTTCTATTTATGGTAAAGGGAACTGTGTGTATAAAGGCTCACCTGTCAAGGTGGGAATTATTCCCTTCTCTTTTGTCTAAATCATTCTTTTTGAGAAAATAATGTAAGGGGATAAGTAATCATAGAATCATAGAATATCAGGGTTGGAAGGGACCTCAGGAGGTCATCTAGTCCAACCGCCTGCTCAAAGCAATGACCAATCACATCTACAAACAGCTTTTTATAAAATCTGAAATCAGTTTTTGAGCACTTGTTAAAAGAAAAAGGAAGTATGAATAGTATTTGAAAGTTTTGATCACGTGTTATACTGTTCAGTGTAAAATGAGTAAATTGGTAGCGGGCTCAATGAGGGAATATATTTATATATGAAAAGACACAAGTTTGACAACAATATCAAACTGGTTATATGTGAAAGACAGACTAAATAAAGTGGATGTAATGGATATCTTAGAATGGATCTAGGAACCTCAAGAGGTATGTGTGTAACGTTAATAGGAGTTACATGCACATCAAGAGAAGAATAAGAATACCGTAGCTTCAAAAGCGAGAAGGACAAGTGGCAAGTTGCAGGCCCGCTAGGGAGATGTAAACAAGTTCACCTAACTTTCATGTTTTAGACTGTTGGGATGTCCAAACTCCGCAAATGTGGCTCCACAGCCTGTAAGTGTTACAGGACTGTAATATGTCCCATATGCAGCTGCACTTGTGGGCTGGTTTGGCTCTGGACTATATTTTATTTCTTTTAAAAAATGTTTTTGGGTGTCATGCAGGTGGTGAGATAAGCTCCACCATTCCTTCCTTGATCACTTTTGTACTGGAGAATTGACTCCTGAACACTAGTTTTTGGGATGGTGTAGTTCAGTGGTTCTCAACCTATTTACCATTGTGAGCCACATATGTGGCCTGCAATGTGTTATGTGGGCCACAGTCAATACTACCTCTATGGCCCTGAGGATGTCACATGGGCCACAACTCTGTGCTGATTGGGCCACAGGTTGAGAACCACTGGTGTAGTTACTCTTCCAGCCACCTGGCCCTTTTCTGACTCTGCTCTCTGGATCTGAGCTGTCAGTAAGGGGAAGAGCAGTATTTACAGGTTGTGTCTTCTGACTGACATACAACGAAGCCAGGGAAGATCCCTCCTTGGTGTTAGAAAGACGATGGATTCTCTGAAATTAGAAGGCCAGATTCAAAGACGCAGCTACAACCTCCACCAAAATCAATGGGAGTTGTGCCCATCTATCTTATGGCAGAATCTGGCGCACAGACTCTGAACTGGAGAGAATGCTTAAGTCATTATTCTGCAGTAACTAGAGCTGGGATCTTCCCTCAGAATAAGGGTGTGCTCTGTGGCTATGAAGATTAGTAGTCCCCTAGATTTTCCCGTGGGAAAACGGAGACAAAAAGGCAAATTTCTGCTAAATTAAGCTGCTAATGTAGGACAAATAAAAATGAGATTTCAGACAATAGTAATAAAAGTTTACAGAAATGATTTTCCAACTATTACAACTCCGTGTTAGCCAATCTATTTTGAACCTACTATACAAAAGACATTCCAAACCCCGTTATGAAATTTGGAGATTTAAAAATATATAACAAATAGAGAAACGACAAACCTGTTAGATGTTTCCCCTTGTTCTTTCCTTCAGGTGTCAGGGTATGGGGAGAAAAAACAACTTTGTTATGCAGATAGTAATTATTAATACTCAGTCACAGATGGTGTTAGATAAATGCTAAATTGTAAATGGATGTGTTAATTAAATTAATGTGAAATACACAGGTTATAGTGCAAGCACAAAACATTCAAGCAACATTCAGAACTACAATGTTTCTGAAAAATAAACTTCTCAGTCACCTTAATACATGCATAACTTGCTGAATACATACCACTGCAGACTGAGTTGGCAAAGCACTTACTTAGGCAAAATGCATTGGTGACACATATATAACAGAAAGCTGTAGACTTTTTATTTGATAAAGTTATCTGCAGTAATGAAACAGGTTTGATTTAATTAGGACTGTGATAGCACAGCAATGGATTTCTTTAAAATAATGATTATTATGCTTTATTTTTCTTGGGCTATAATTGTATTCTAGACTATTTCAGATAGGATATAGCTTATTTATATAGCTTCATATTAATTCATGTATGCAAAAGTTGCCCTATACCTGAATATCTATTTGTCTCAAACAAAATTATTAAAATCAATATTTGTGAACTCTTTGATAACTTTTAATCTGAAAGCTACTTTTAGTTTGAAGTATTCAGGATGAATACTTGTGGTAATAGATCACTTATGGCTCAGTTCTTCTAAACTCTTTGAAATTCACAGATCAGCTTTCTGTAGTCAGCCAACCCTTTTTGGCTAAATTTATCTGGCACATAATCTCCTCTTTATGGTTGCGTGGGTGTTCATCACACGTTTGAGATGAACAGCTGGTCTCTTGCACTGGCCATAATAACAACAACAATAATAATACTTAGGACTTCTATTACACCTTTCATGCAAGGCTATCACTGTGTACCTTTCAAAGCTGTACTTAGTACTCTCCATTCCAAAGTATATGCCCCACATTTGGGGCAGTGACATACTGCCTTGTGTTAAATTTTTTCAGAGCTACGGAACAATCTTGGACCATTCCTCTTAAAGGGTGAATTTCTGCCAAAGCACTGAGAATTTTCATCCAGGTTATGACATCAGTGTACTCTCTATTGGCCAAATTCTTACATTAGAGGTACAATACATGGTTTTATTCTATTGATTACATGTGTGTATATCCAAAGACATAATATCCCCTAACTAAACTCTTAGTGTATCTGAAGTTATAACTAAAGGCTACATTCCCAAGAGGTGGAATGTCATAAAGTTCTTTGCCACTTGGGAAGCACAGATGTTTCTAAAGCCTCATAGTGCAATGTAGAATAATACTGCCCATGAGAATAAAGAGCAGTCACTGCACTAATTATATTGCCTATGCTCCCCTACAGAGGATTTGCCACTGGAAAAGTAAACATGCTGATTTAAAAAGATTAATAAGGATAACAAAGAGAAATTTAAATTTCTACTCAGAGAAATGTAGTTTATGTATAAAGCAATGTAATTAGAGAAACAGGAAATGCTTGTAGTGGATAAATGATTACATGAGCTTCCAAATACATCTGATTCTGGTCTCAAAAATTCTATGGGCCTGATCCACAGCTGGTGTGGCACAGCTCCATTGACTTAAGTGGAGCTAACCTGATTTACACCAGTTGAGGAGCTGGTACATAATCCCAAATTCCAAGATCGAGGGTAGCTATTAGTTCTTCAGTCAATCAGTAAGCACCATTCGCTGAGTTATGAAGAAAGCATGTTGTGTGGAAACCAATAGGTATGAGCCCTATAAATAGTAACACGTCTTTACTACAGTAAATAGGATGAATTAGTGTGACTTGGAAATGGAGGCTCTGATTATCAATGTGTGTATTGCTTACAGTTAAAACATAGCTGGTACGGTGCATGGATACGAGTAAAATATTAACCTTCACAGCTGAGGGTTTGTGAGAAAATGCTTTGAATACTTTAGTGCAATAATATTTCATAGATAAATGGAAATGGATTCTATTTATCCTCACTGTGTCTGGAGTCTCTATAATACTGGCCAGATTTGTTAGTTGAGACCTTAATGAAAGGAATTAGTGAGAGAGAGAGAGAGAGAGAGAGAGACAAACCAAACAGAAATACTAATTTTCTATAAGCTTGAACAGACATCAAGAACAGCACCAGCTGCCATATTTGTACCTACTTTGTAGGGCTGCAGGTATGCAAGGCCTTCAAATGAGGCTTCCAGGTAGCAATGGAAACCGATTTCTCATCAGCCGCATAACTACGCCATACACACTACGTGCAGGATATATGATAAAAAGAAAAACAAGGCAAGAGGGAGCAGGGGATGAAACAAAAATTGAAAAGCAGATTAGTAAACCAATACAAGTCATGGCTTTTTTTTATCATTCATAGCACTGATACATGCCTGAGGGGTGGAAGAATACTTTCATAATATCGCCAGGTGGCTGTCAGGTTTGTTCGGCTGGAATCAGTGGAATAAAACCGCCAAGCAGCCTGGTATGAGGAAACAATAGAAAAGCACAAAGGAACCAACAATATATGAAATGAAAATGCCACCATATTGATTATGGAAAGTCTGGACTTTGTTCAAACCAAGAACATTACCTGTTAGGCTGTCTAAATAAACATTAATACCAACAAAATCTAGCAAAAATTGCTAATCAGGACATGGTGAAATATGGCTAATAATCTCTGGGTAAATATCACAATACAGCCAGTAAACAGAAGGTGCATAGTAAGCAGTGCAGTGATTTATTTGTAAAAATCCCACAGGAGAAACTTTCACAAAGTTGCAGACTGAAGTAAGAAGGGTGTAAGAATTAGAGCTCACCAAATACATTTTTTTTTTTTTTGGTTTGGGACCAAACTGAAAAATGAGGAAAAAATTGTTTCAGGTTCAAAAATTCATGTAGTTTTTTCAGTTTTTCTCACCAAAACAACCCCCCCAGAATCATTCAACCTGATATTTTTTTTTGGGGGGGGGGGCGAAGGGAATGTTTTGTTTTGGGTGTTTTTTAACCTTTAAAATGTTTTTAAACAAACCTAGTTAAATACAGAAATGAAACCTTGTTTCAAAATTAAAAGTCAAAATGTTTTGTTTTGAAAATATCAAAATGAACCATTGAGACTTTTTCCAATTTTTTTCATTTTTCATTCCGCTGAAACTATTTGCCCAATTCAATCCAAATGTGCAAATAGTTTGGTTTGACTTTTCACTGAAAAATATTCACCCAGCTCTAGTCATAATATAGTTTGCAAATGATAATGAAAACCAACCACAAAAAAATTAGAGGAAAGGTAGAATATTCTCCTTGGCTCAGGCATTTTTGACGATATAAAGCTACGAAACAAATAATTTGGTTGGTGGAAAGCAAATATACAGTATCAAAAGTATTTTCAACTTTTAGATTTATAATTGGACAAAAATGGTGAGCCAGATCTTCATCTGGTATAAGGTGTTGTAGTTAAATTGTAGCTATATTGGCTTCACCAACTAACACAAGCTGAGGATCTAGCCAGTTAGGTTAAAAGGTTTCCTGGACATTGTTCCATCATTTCCAATATGTACTGTCATGCCATACTAATATGGGCCAGGTCTTCACTGACATCCATGGAGAGACACCAATTTACACCAGCTTAGAATCTATGTCTATATAGTCCTTTCAATGCCCTTTGCCTGGACATATTTAGTACCAACTGGAGTGAAAGAATAGAAATATTAAGCCTGATTCTCCACTATTCTACATCCCAGCTAGTGATTTACATCTGTGTGAAGAGAATGCAAAATAGGTGTAACATGCTACCATTCTCCCTTGGTAGCATTTCACACCTGCTTTGCATATGTGTAAATTGCTACATCGGGGCATGACAGTGGAGGATCTGAATGCTAATTCCAATGCCATCACACTTGAAAAATCAGGGCTCTTGAAACTAACAACAGGTTTTGCAGTTATTCAGTTGCAGATGTGCATTTTTTATTGCTACTGAATGTGTGAAAAAATAAACAGAGCTTTTGAATACCTTATTATTAAGTCTGCGATTCTCTCAAGGAGGATGCGGAAGTCACGGCCATAAGAAGTGGGAGGACCATGACCCCCGGAAACCTGCCCTATTCTGGCACCCCTGACTTATATGCTGCAATCAAGTCACTTGTCAGTCTTCTTTTTGATAAACTAAACGAGACTGAGTCTCTTACTGTAAAGCATTATCTCCAGTGCTTGAATAATTTTTATGACTCTTTTCCTCATGCTCTGCAATTTATCAGTATCCTTGTTAAAATGTGGACACCAGAACTGGATGCATTATTCCAGTACCATTCTCACCATTACTGTATACAGAGGTAATATCCAAGGACCACATTATCCCTTTTTACTATAGCATCACACTGGGTTACTTGTTCACTAAGTCCTTTTCAGAGTCACTGCTTTCCGGGATACAGTCCCCATTCTACAAGTATGGCCTGCATTTATTCTTCATAGATGAATATTTGCATTTGGCTGCATTAAAACACATTTTGTTTGAATGGGCCCATTTTACCAAACTACGCTATATGACTTCCTCTTCCTCATCAATATTTACCACTCTGCCAACCTTTGTGTCATCCACCAATCTTATCTGCTGTAATTTTATATTTACGTCCAGATCATTGATGAAAATGTTGAATAGTGTCAGGCCTAGTGCTGATCCCTGTGGAACGGCTCTAGAAATATCCGCATTCTCCACTGACAACTACTTTTTGAGATCCGTCAGTTAGCCAGTTCTTAATCCATTTAACGGGTGCCTTATTGATACTGTACAGTGCTAATCCTTTAATTAAAATATCATTGTGTTAGGAGCAGCAGGTCCAGAACCTGAGCCTGCAGGCTCCCAGGACAGCAACTGTCCCTATGCCACCAGCTAGCAGCAGAAATACTTGGCAGGTCATGAGTCAGAGGCACCCACACACATAGGCACCGACTTTGTGTGTGCTCTGAGGCTCAACCACCCACGGATAAAAAAAATAGGGGGTGTTCAGCACCCATGGACTGTGCCCCACCTGTGCTGTGCCTCTTCCAGCCCCCACTCTGCCTCTTGCCCCAAGGTCTGCACCACTCACTCTTCTCTGTCCCCTCCCCCATCACTCACCCTTCAGGCAGGAGGGGGCAGAAAGGAGTGAGCGGTGGGTGGGGGGGGCCTTGGGGGAGGGGGCAGAGGAGTGGGTGGGAAGTGCTCAGGGGAAGGGGCAGAGAGGAGCAAGTGGCAGGTAGGAGGGTCTTGGGGGTGGACAGAAGTCAGCGGTGGGCAAGCGGGGTCTCGGGGCAGAGAGGAGTGAGTGGTGCGCGGGGGAGGAGCCTTGGGGTGGGGGCAAAGAGGAGTGGACAGTAGGCACTCAGGGAGCGGGTGGAGCGGGCAAGGGAAGAGGCAGAGTGGGGTGGGACCTTGGGGGAAGAGGCCGAGTGTGGAGGGAAAAGCTGGGGTGGACCTCCCACCGGGAAAAACAAAAGTCAACTCATGAGCCCACACACACCATATGACATGCAGCCCCTGGAGGTCCTGATTGACATAACGTTCCCTAACCAAACTCTTAGTGTATCTGAAGTTATGACTAGGAGGCCCAGGTTCCCCTACCAGCCACTGCGGAAGAGGCACAGACCCGGCAATGGAGAGGGGACTGCCTGGGACAGTTTGCTTCCAAAGACTGTGATACACTGGAAGGGAGAAACATGCATAGTGACTTGGCTGGAGGGCTAAGTCATGAAGGAGCACCTGGCATTGCAGAGACAGGTGGACAGACCGCCAGAGGAGGGCGCAGCACCTGAAAGGAGCTAATCCCCAGAGCGGCAGGAGAAGGCGGTGAGTGGACCCCATGGCAGATGCTTACAAGCAACATGCGGATCACTGGAGACAGCATGGCCCGGAATTCAAGGTAGGCCAGAAGGTTTGGCTCACAACCAAACATCTCCACACCAGACCACCCCATAAACTAGATCACTGATATCTTGGACCATTTCAGATCCGCCAACTAATTAACTCTGCCACCGTTAAACTCTGCCTGCCTAGATGACTCAAAATACACCCTGTTTTCCAATTTCTCTTTTGAAGCCATTCACAGAATGGCCCATTTCTGGGCCGAACGCAACCACCTCTGCCACCCATTCATGTCCAGCACCATGAAGAACACCTAGTCCCGACCATACTGGATTCCAGGATCAAGCTGGGTACTTTGTGAACTGGGAGGCATATGGCCCCAAGGAGCAGTCCTGGGAACCAGCCCACCATGTACAAGCTCCCAACTTATAGAGGCTTTCCACAAAGGCAATCCCCAAAAAGCCTGGGCAGGTGATACTACAGATTTGCTCTTGGGCAGGGACGTGATTTTAAGAGCAGCAGGTCTAGAACCTAGGCTTGCAAATTCCCTGGGCAGCAACCATTTCCTTGCCACCATGTAACAGCTCTGGTAGTGAAAACACTCAGCAGGTCATGAGCCTCATGGACACACACACATCACAGGACATCCCCCCCCACAGAGGGTATGATTGGAAGGACATTCCCAATTGGTCCAGACATACAAAGTAACATCTGCTGGGGATGATTCAGTAAGTTTGTCTCTGCAATTATGTAGAGCCAACTGCTGCTACAGACCCTGCTTCCTCATCCTGCTTCTGCTCCCTGATTCCTGACCTTGGCTTTTCCTCCTGGCTCTGATACCAGGTTTCTGGGTAGGCGTGTCTTCTGCTTCTGATCCCTGTTCCTGATCTTGGCTTTACTTCCTACCTCTGATATCTGGTTTCTGACTTGGCTTTGTCCCCTCCTTCTGACTCCTGGTTCCTGACTTAGCCTCCACTCCTGATGCTGACCCCTAGCTCCTAACCTTAGATTGATCCCTCCCGACTCCGATTCCTGATGTCTGACACTGATTCTAGCCACTAGGCTGTCCGTCCATGACCTGGCCCTGACACATCAGTACTAAGTCAGATGCCTTACAAAAGTTTAAGTATATTACTTCTATGCAGTTACCTTGATCAACCAAACTTGTAATCTCATCAAAGAATGCAATCAGAATGTATATATCTTGGAGAGTTTCACTCATTCTACAGCAGGTGCAAAAGGAACGACAAAGTACTTATTTATGCTGTCAATTAATAATTTATTAACTGCCTGAACATTCCAAAGATATCTTTGTCATCGTCTTGAGCTTAGTGAAACAATGTTATATGAACTGCTCAGGTTCTTTGTTTTCACTTGCCACACCAGTATGAAAAAAGACGATATATGGTACACATTTAAAAGAGTTGGTTTCCAAAACAAGTAAATGAAGATGATATCTGTATTTCAGTCCAGTACATCAAATACAATAAAGTTCAGTAGGAAACCGATTTCATTCTTTCTTTTTTTTGTATGTTTAGAGCTAGAGACCTCCGGTATGAAAGTCATCAGCAAGCATTTCAATCCACTATGATCAGAAAGTTAAAATAATTGTACAAAATTACAGTTTAAATTATCAAATATACTAAAAAAAATTATTTACTTTTATCTCTTTTAAAACATTGATCTGCACCTTCACCTCAAGACAACAGGTGAAAAGATGCTCATCATTTCAAGACACTGAACTATTCAATTCCATATTTCCAGCTCCTAGATTGGGTGATATTGACAGCAATTCTCTGGACAGGAAACTCTACATTTTAAAGGAATGTATTACTCATCTCAGCACTGTGAACTCTCTAGTAGTGAAAAGTAATTGAATCTGGGCCAGAATCATAGAATCATAGAATCATAGAATATAAGGGTTGGAAGGGACCCCAGAAGGTCATCTAGTCCAACCCCCTGCTCGAAGCAGGACCAATTCCCAGTTAAATCATCCCAGCCAGGGCTTTGTCAAGCCTGACCTTAAAAACCTCTAAGGAAGGAGATTCTACCACCTCCCTAGGTAACGCATTCCAGTGTTTCACCACCCTCTTAGTGAAAAAGTTTTTCCTAATATCCAATCTAAACCTCCCCCACTGCAGCTTGAGAGTGCTGTGCTATCTCTTAATCCTGTCCTTTAGTGATCAAATCTGTTTTCCCAAGTAATTTATATAATCAAATGTCAAGCAGGACTGCACATAATTTGCATCTTTGCCTGGCCATTTTGGCATGGATATTAATCTGAAATTCAACAATGCATGAACCATGCATTGTAAAGCTGAATATGACATTATACAAATGCAAGGTGTTTATTGAACACAGTTCATTTTAACAAAATGTTCAACTTGTGGCAATTAAACAATATTTCTGCAGAACTTTGCATAATGCAGGAGGTAATACAGGTTTACTTAACAAGCACATAGAAATCTATTTTAATCCTCTCACTGTTTTTATATTTACCTGAATTAAACTGGCAGCTGGATTCCTTCTTTTCTCAAAATGTTTCTGACGGTGCTGTTCTTGTACTTTTAATGCAAAGCCTGAGCCAAGAATGCCCTAGAGTAAAATATAACACAAAAGTTTTTATCATTAGGAAGGTAATTGTGAAAAATAGTTTAAATACATCAGCTCTGAAGTTATTTTGAGGATGAGAAAAAATAAAGCACCACTATTCACAATTGGAATTGTTTTGTCTGATTATTTCAAACAACCACATTTATTACAGTACAAAAGTTTCACAATAGACAATGTCCATTCACTGTAAGACATGAGAATCCCTACATAAGAAATAACATTTGCAGTGTTATGAATGGCTGCTCATCTAAATCATTCGATGCTATAGGCTATGGTGTGCTACTGATATTCCAAATAAGGTATCTGTGTAAGCAGCCAAACAATCATGTACATACTTCACTTATAGTCACAACCCTGTGTTGTAACTTTTGAATTTAGAAAATTCAAAAATAGCTTGCATACAGCAAGTTTTTCAGTTTAATTAATTTATCTGTAGTATTCATTCTATGGGGTTTGCAGTGTTGCCAACTCTCATGATTTTGTCATGAGTCTCATGATAATTATTGTTTTCCTTAAAGCCCCAGCTCCTGGAATCAAGTGGATATGTGATGATTTCAGCCTTCATTCTGAATGAAAAAGTAAGTTTCTAGTTCTCGTGGCTGTGGAAAAAGCTTCAAAATATGAGCCCAGTGCACCCTAAAGGCTCAAAAAGCAGAAGGTAAATAAAAAGAACACAAAATCTATTATTTTTACATAATCTCATGATTATAAAGCCAGTCTTGTGATTTTTGGAGAGCCTGACTCATGATTTTTGAACATTTGGGGTTGGGAATACCGGGTTTGAAAGAAAGTTTATAATTAAATCTTTACCACTTTTGGCTTTTTACAGGGTAAGACTATTCATTCTTCTGCTGAACAGGCCAAAAGTGCAAAGATGCTTGCTTCCTAAGCTTCTGCAAGAGGTGTTATTCCGCTGAATAATTTTGCATTATAAGGAGGAAAGATACCACTTGACTCTTATGCAAGAAAAATAAAAGAAAATCCATGAAAGATACACACATCTTAATATATTTCTCCATAGTCTGACTAAACACAAATGTTGCTCATGAAGAAAATGAATGGCTACATGGATATGACATGTGGAATACATTTTCTGATATTTACTTTAAGGCTGTATTCATTTTTCATATACTCATCTTCAGATATAAATATTCTATTCCCTAGTCATCTCTAGGAGTATGTTTTCTGCTAGGGATAATTATATAATTCACATTGATTCAAATACAGTGGGTACCATTGATGTCAACATTTGCCAACAGGTATTCCACTGTAATATCTGAGATAATGAAGTATTGCTCTGTACTGTACAGTAACTCCTCACTTAAAGTTGTCCCGGTTAACGTTGTTTCATTGTTACGTCACTGATCAATTAGGAAACATGCTCGTTTAAAGTTGTGCAATGCTCCCTTATAACATTGTTTGGCAGCTGCCTGCTTTGTCCACTGCTTGCAGGAAGAGCAGCCCGTTGCAGCTAGCTGGTGGGGGCTTGGAAACAGGGTGGACCAGCAGCCCCATCAGCTCCCCGCTCCCCTAAGTTCCCTGTGTGGCAGCCGCCCAGCAGGCTATCAATTGCCAGCAGTTCAGCTGTCCCTCCTGCCACTGCCATGTGCTGCTCCTGCCCTCTGCCTTGGAGCTGCTCCCTGAGCCTCCTGCTTGCTGTGCAGGGGTTGGGGAGAGAGGGAGGCTAAGGTCAGGGTGTCCCCCTCTCCCCCAGCTCCTGCACCCTGCTTACCCCATCTTCCATAGAGCAGGGGGGACACATGACAGGGCTCAGGATGGAGGGAGCTTCCTGGCAGCAGCTGCGGTCTCAGCTTGCTGATTAACTTAACAAGGCAGTATACCTAAGAGTGGGGTCAGCGTATTTAAAGGGGGAAATGCGCATCTCTCTCAAAAGACTCTCTCTCTCTATATATAATATAGTCTTTTGTCTGACCAAAAAAAAATGTCCCTGGAAACTAACCCCCCCTATTTACATTAATTCTTATGGGGAAATTGGATTCGCTTAACATCATTTCGCTTAAAGTCGCATTTTTCAGGAACATAAGTACAACGTTAAGTGAGGAGTTACCGTATTTAAACAAAGAAAATAACTGTGGAATCACAGATGCTGCAATGTTGTTGGTAAATGCTGACTTTTTAATGTTGGTCAGTCTATATGGTTAAATATAAAAATATTCTAATTCCAATGAAAATAATTTTTTAAATGATCTATATGTTAGTGAATAAATAAATTTTTAAATATTGATGTTTCATATGTACAGTGACAGGTTTAATACAAGAGGAAGTAATGTGCCCTTTGGATTCAGGCTTATTAAATGCACCATTTGTATACACACGTTAAATGTTACGATATTTCTACCACTTCCAATACTCATTAGATTACTCTCATTTCCATTAAAGTCCCTTTAATGTCTGTAAATCTCATAAGCTGTCGCGTCTTTCTTATCAAGTAGTCATTTATAGGATAAAAATAGTTGTATTCATTTAATAGAATGAACTTCTATTACAATCAGGGGCCAGACACCCTTAGGGGAGAACAGGGGGGGGCTGAACCCCAAGAGTAAGTAATTGAATCAACTGATTGTGCAATGTTATTGTGTATAAAAGAATGTCAAGTAAGGCCTTCTATGAAAACTTGTAATATTCTGAACTTGATTGTCATTGTGAGATATGCAAACAGACTGTGGTTATGAATTTATGTATTTCTGCAGCTATAAAACTGTGCTGATAATTTGTGCTGCAACATCCAGCTCTATCTAAAATTCTCTGTAATCTGAAGTCTTTAAATCATGATTTGAGGACTTCAGTAACTGAGCCGGAGGTTAGGGGTCTATTACAGAAGTGGGTGGGTGAGGTTCTGTGGCCTGCAACGTGCAGGAGGTCAGACTAGATCAGGGGTTCTCAAACTTCATTGCACCGTGGCCCCCTTCTGACAACAAAAATTATTACATGACCCCTGGAGGAGGGACCAAAGCCTAAGCCTGCCTAAGCCCCGCCACCTTCGGCAGAGGGCCAAAGCCCAGGCCCCACCACCTGGGCCAGTGGCGGTGGACAAAGCAGAAGCTCAAGGACTTCAGCCCCAGGTGTGGGGGCCTGTAACCTAAGCCCTGCTGCCCAGGGCTCTTCCCCTTAGACTTCGGCTTCAGCCCCAGATGGTGGGGCTCAGGCTTCAGCCCTGGGCCCTAGCAAATCTAATGCCAGCCCCGACGACCCCATTAAAACAGGATCACAAAGCACTTTGTGGTCCCAACCCACAGTTTAAGAACCGCTGGACTAGATGATCATGATGGTCCCTTCTGACCTTAAAGTCTATGAGTCTATCACAAGGTAGTAGTCAGCCAGGCGGGGGGGGGGAGGCTGCCTCCCCACTGGATGAGACTAGCTCCGAGCACGGTACAACCCAGGAAAAGACAAATGATGGGCCAGTAGGGTTAATGGGAAAACATTAAGACATCCCAGCTCAAATTTTCCCACCTAAATAACTGAGAGTCGCCATGCAAGGAGAAAAGGGGGAAAAAGGGGGGGATTGGGGAGCCTTTAAAAAGGAGGCTTGAAACTCAAGTTTTTATGAAAAATGAGGGGCAGCGTCTAAGCTGGAAGCTGTATGTTAAATGCTGGATCTCCTCTATGACAGAGTCAAATATGAGTGAGCAAAGTACAAGCGTATGGTTTATTATTTTCTTTTTCTTATTTTGGGTTAAGGGAAATAGAACAAGACAAGAGGAAAATGAGCCAGTTCGAATCCTTGGACACAATGGATAAAAAGCAGCTTGGAGCCTGTGTGTGCAGTATGGTGTACAACTTCTGCCTGATTTCATGCATTCTACTGCAGTCAATTGATAGATCTTACATGGTCATTGTAGACCATCCACTAGCAATGTCCTAATTTTTCCAACTGCAATAAATCCGGAAGAACATATCTGCTCCATCATTTCAAAGCCCTGAGAGAAACATATTGCTAGGGTATGAGGCACAATTCACAGGCAGAGAGAGGAATTTCTGTCTTTCAAAATGCAACAGGAGTAAATCCTGGAAAAAAGATATTTTCCATTTTTGTTCAGGCCAAACCCCCATACAAATACAATGATAAGTCTTTGCAATGACACTTTCGTTTGGGCCATATCATCCCATCAGTTTTGATAGTGAATAAATTAAACCAATGTAGAATTCTGCTTCAAAACTGACCATACGGGCCTATACTTTTTTTTAACTGAATAATGTACAACTTAAACTCTGTGGTTAGGTAATAGATGGCCATATCTGACTTACTAGCTCATAAGTGAGTAACTGTGCAGTTTTAGAAACACTGGAGTCATAATAACCCAGTGTTCCAGGCTAACACCACAGAAAAAGGGGCTTTATGTAGATGATCCAACTGCATGATCAGATTTCCTTACTCTATGAAAAGGCACTTGAGAAAAGTTTTAACATTAGTGAAGGAGCTTTACATATTCAAACAATGACTCTTTATGCTGAAAGCTTCATGCAGCTTCTCACATCAGCCTTAGGAGTTATTGAGGTTCCTGTTGCCTTTTTTTTATTTTTGTAAAGATACTCACAGCAGGTAGTGCAAAGAAAGAAATTCCAAGTAGAGCAAACCCAGCAGAAAGCAGCCTTCCAAGCCAAGTAAGAGGAGTTTTGTCTCCATAGCCAATTGTTGTCAATGTGATCTAAAAAGTAATGAATAAATACCATGTGCAATAGAAGTACCTGAGAGAAAAGCTACAGATCAGATACACAGTATGCAAGAATTTTTCCAGTAAATAATCATTCACTAAGACACATGAAAATCTAAATGTATAACACAATCTTCTATTTTAGAACACATCTCTAAAGGAAAAACATTATTTAAATAAATGGATATGAATAACTTTGTAACAATGAACAGAGGTGATGTGGGGGGGCATGAGAGGTCATGTGCCCCCCCAGATTTCTGCCTTCCATGAAGCACAGAGGTTTTCAAACTGGAGATCACCCCCCGTTCCCTCCAGTTTGCAAACCATCACCTCCTTCCAAGAGCCAGTGGATCGGAAGCTGGTGGGAGCCACCTGGCCTGCTTGTGTTGGATCATATTAAAGAAGTTCTGTATTAAAATCACAAATGAGTTTGATTCCCCATAGTTTAAATTCCACGGTATTACTAATTAAGGAGGTCTCTTGGTTTTTGGTACTGTTTCTCTCTCTCTCTGTGTGAAACTTGCAAGCTGCTAATTGTGTTAATACATCCTAAGACAGTCTGTTCTCAAAGCATTTCTTTGTAACAACAACTACTCACACAGAGAGAGACTCAAAGCAATACTCTGTAACAACAGAAACAGCACCCAGAGACTCCCTGCCCTTTTGTTGTATTCATCTCACGTTGTTAACAAAAGTGATTAAAATAGAGATAGAGGATGTATGTGGATGGATGCTTGGTGTGGATAATAACTGAATGATCAGGGAGGTGCCAGCCTAAGAATGCAGTGTCCATCGGCTGAAGAAGGTGTCAAGTGGAAATAACCAGAGAACCCCTGGAGGGCAGACTGGAATCCATCCAACAGCCTCAAGAATGGGAGAACCAAAGAACAAGATAACATCTGGCAGCACGGAGCCATCACGAATGTGCCATCTGCTGATTGATTCAGCAACAGCATGATGAAGCAATTCCCATAGACTGGCATAGGAAGAAATTCCTATAAAAATGGACTCTAGAAACTGAGAACTTTGGGGTCTGATTCTGCAAACCAACTTCCAGGAGCATCAGATGAGCATCTGACAAGGCCCTGCTCCCTCCTCATGTCCAGGTCACCTGGCCAGTGGCTTGGCATGAGCAACTCTAAGGCTGGTAACTATGATAACAACCTTGCAGAACCTGTGTGTGTGTGTGTGTATGAATGAATGTGTGAATAAATATGAAATTGAATGGAATGTTATAGCTATAACTAGCTGCTTACTATTATTCTTTCTGTATTCACAATAAATGTGGTATTTTGCCTTTTCCCCTTTAATAAGATCCTGCTGGTTTTTATTTTATTGGTATAACTTTTTGGTGGAGAATTGCAAAAGGGGGAATACTGGTAAAAAACCTCAGTTATTGTAAATATTGGTGTGCACACCGCCAGCTCTGTTGAGCTAGGCATTTCTATTGGGTTAACCAGACCTGCTGGCCTCCGGGAAGGTAGCAGGGAAAAACAGGTTAACCAGACCTGCTGGCCTCCAGGAAGGTAGCAGGAGAAAGTGTGTAAATTAAACTAAGATTACTAAAATCAATCAGGTTAACCAGACCTGCTGGCCTCCGGGAGGGTAGCAGGGGAAATCGTATAGATTAAGCTACGATTACTAAACCTAAGTCCTATTGTTCACTGAGGTATCAGGGGCAGCAAGAAGGCCTAAGGGCCAGGTTAAGCTACTCGCTGGAATAAGGAGTAGCAGGTTCAGAGAATCTAGGCTGTGTCACTCGCTGACCTGTGCCAGGTGTGACGAGGAAATTTGATAAGCTATGATTTCAGAATCTAGGCTGGTTTCAGAGTAACAGCCGTGTTAGTCTGTCTTTGCAAAAAGAAAAGGAGTACTTGTGGCACCTTAGCGACTAACCAATTTATTTGAGCATGAGCTTTCGTGAGCTACAGCTCACTTCACTTGCTAAGTAATACCAGGAGTGACAAAGAGATTGAAATATCCATGTGAAGATGTTTAAAAGAAAACAGGGTAAGCCTGTACCAGAGGGAGGAATAGATTCAGAAGGAACTCCAACCTCACCTTTTGTTAAAAAAAAATTACACCTTTTAAACAAATCCTTCAAAAATTTGGGCACAGTCCTTGGACTAAACAAGCCCTAGCTGATGTCTGCACTATTTCGGAGCTAGAGGATAGATTGGCTCAGAATATCCTCATATACAAACCTTCTAGTGCTGCCAAAAGAGATGCAGCAGCAATTTGGTTGTTGTGGGAGGCACGTAAGGATTCTTACCTCCGCTTGTCTTCATGTAAAGAGGAAAAGGCACAAACGGAAAAGGGAGCAGACAATTGGAAGGTGCTGGCTACAAATACCCAAAGTCAGCTGAAAATAGTGAAAGAGGCACTCCAGGAATGCAAAAAGAGAGAAAGATTCCTGGCAGACCAAGCTAAAGCCTCTGAGAAAATTGAAAGAGAGTATCATGTGCTCCAAGGTCTGGTAAAGAAATTAACCTTGAAGCAGGGCAGAGCACCTGCAAATCATAGTTGTTGTGAATCACTAATTAAGAGTCTGAGACAAAAATTGGGCTTTGCCAGTAAACAGGCAGCAGCCATTACAGCGGGTGAAGGGGGAGAAGGTCCTATGTACGGCACCCCCAGGCATAATTACAAAGAGAAAAGAGAGTGAAAAAGTTAACTCTGCAGAGGCTGGAGGGAATTAAGCAGCTAAACTTTGTGAAAATGTTAAAAAGGAAAAATGTTAGAGAAAGAGCAGTCTTGGTTTCTTTGCAGCCATTCTGAAGGAAAAATGGGCCCTTTTCCAAAGGAATGTCTGTAAATTAGCCAGGCAAAAATAAGCTATCTGATTAAAGGTTTCAGAGTAGCAGCCGTGTTAGTCTGTATTCGCAAAAAGAAAAGGAGTACTTGTGGCACCTTAGAGACTAACCAATTTATTTGAGCATAAGCTTTCGTGATCCGATGAAGTGAGCTGTAGCTCACGAAAGCTTATGCTCAAATAAATTGGTTAGTCTCTAAGGTGCCACAAGTACTCCTTTTCTTTTATCTGATTAAAATAATTTGACTGGACAATTTAGTCAAATTTGCTAAAAGAACAAAAGGGGATTCTGTTGGAACTTAACTGCCTCAAATGTATAAAGGGAATGTAAGATGTAAAAAACAGAGTAGTGTGGAAGGGATCTTAAGAAAAAGAAAATGTGTATGTATCTATCTGTGTGTGTGTAAATACATAAAGTTCTAAGGACCACTTGGTTTTGTTTTTGTTTGAAATAATGCCACTAAAAATCCATTTGACTCTTTAATTCAAAGTTGCAAAACTGAGACCTTTTTGCTAGACACAGGTAATTAGTGTTGTTTGGCTTTGGGATTTGGCATTTAACCCTTAAAAGGTAACTCAATGCTTTACAAAATTGAAAATGTTTTTAAGTTGTGGCTGCAGCAGGGCAGTCAAAATCAGGAGAATAGGAAAAAAAATCTGGATTCTTTTTGTTTGTTTGTTTTTGTAACAAAATACCAGATGAGAGCTGTAGTAAAAATACATAAATAAGAAATTAAAAAAGACAGTGCCCCTCTGAAGCAACAGCAGGGGTGAGGTGCACAAAACAAAAAGAAGCAATGTTAGAAACACTGGTTTCAGAGTAACAGCCGTGTTAGTCTGTATTCGCAAAAAGAAAAGGAGTACTTGTGGCACCTTAGAGACTAACTAATTTATTTGAGCATAAGCTTTCGTGAGCTACAGCTCACTTCATCGGATGCATACCGTGGAAGCTGCAGTTTCCACGGTATGCATCCGATGAAGTGAGCTGTAGCTCACGAAAGCTCATGCTCAAATAAATTGGTTAGTCTCTAAGGTGCCACAAGTACTCCTTTTCTTTTTGTTTGAAACACTGAGTCTTAAAATGGCTCTGAGTAATCAGACTGTCACTTTGATAAAGGAACATGATAACTCTGTAAGCAAAAAAAAAGAAACAGTTACACCTTATGTAAAAATGGATATGGATAATGTTATAGTAGTTAAACTATGGGAGGAATGTGAATTTGCCCCAGAACATGTGCAGGGTATATTGTAGAAGGGGCAAAAGAAATGCAATCATACCATGCTACTTAATTAAAATGCTATTAGGGCTCCAAAGGGAGCCACAATAGGTTGGGTTTTCTTTTTCAGATTGCTGTGTGTTTTGGAAGCAGAATTTAAAAAGTTATCAAAACTCTGGTGAAAGTTAATTGTGTCCCTTTTAAGATAGAGTCTCTGAGCTGCTGATGGCTTTAAATCCAAAAGCAGGAAGCGTCTGTGAAAATGCAAATTACCTAAATGATAAAGGAAGGAAAGAACTAGCAGCACAAAGGAGCTGCAGATAAAGGACACACCTGGTCAGCAAACAAATTGTCTAAATAAAAGGCATGGGATCACAAGATAACTTTATAAATTTAATGATAATAAGTACCCCTGTAACAAGTATAGGGTGTATGATTTTTGGAAAAATCCTTTAAGGTCATATCGTAATGATGCTTCTCAGCTATTTCCTGTAGATAAACTTAAATCTTAACACAGCAGGAAAAACGTTATAAACTTGGTCTGCTGTATAAGAAGGAAAACTGAGGTACCCCACCTCAGGGATTTAATGACTAAACAGTGGCATAATTTCCCCATAACCCTTAAAAGATAGACGCCATTGAAACCTGGCCTGCCTATAGAACAAACACAGGAAAATATGGGGGTAATTCCTCTGTTTTGCCTGCAATAAGCAAGGGTATTGTAAAAGAAATATTTTAAGCAATAACCTGCCACCCCAAAAAGGGGTAGAAACATGTTCTTTTGTCTTTCAGAAAATCAGGAAAAGCTGATGCCAGCTGAAGAGCAACCCAATACCATGAATCTACTGTCACAATAGAAATTGTGGTTTGAGTTCTATGTTTTGTCTTGTCTTGTTGCTAGCACTGTTGTGTGTTTAAACAAAAATACTGCAGACCTGCAGGTAATTAAAAATAAATTAAGCTCT